ACGCTGGAGTCGGACCCACGTTACAATATCAAAACGCGAGGGTCGAACCCACGTTACAACATCAAAACGCTGGAGTCGGACCCGCGTTACAACATCAAAATGCTGGAGTCGGACCCGCGTTACAACATTAAAACGCTGGGGTCGGACCCGCGTTACAACATTAAAACGCTGGGGTCGGACCCGCGTTTTTCAATGCCCAGCGGGTACCCAACTCCACGTCTCTAGTCTAAAATACGGAGTTAGGGTCCTGAATGCCAACGTGGGCGTTTGACTCGTTCAAACATGAGCTGAACGGTTCCAAAACCGGTTCCCATGATTTGTGGGCGGTTACACCCCACTTAGGAGTGATTTAAGGGGCGGTTACACCCCCTTAATCCCCTATAAAAGCGAGTAAACTCAACTGAGTTCGGGGTTAGCTTCTTTCGTCCGAAGTTCAAGGATTTTTCGGCTGGCATTTTCAGATCTGGGACTTGGCAGCGAAGGGTTGGATCTTCTTGGCTCGGATTGACCCTGGAGCTTGGCAGCAAAGAGAGGATCTTTGGAGCATTCTCGGATCTGGAGATCGACAACAGAGAGCTTTTATTCCTTGGCTTAATAACCAACTTTCGGCTCAAATTAACTCTTTCATAGAGTTTAAAACTCGTTCAGAATTATCAACTCGTCCAGAGTTCTAAAACTTACCACGCAAGTTCTCCACAGCGTCGAATCGTGAGGAGAAGACATCGTTCCAGTGAAGCAAAACGTCGGATCGTCAACGGAGAGCAAACTCGACGCGAGCATTCGAGGGAGGCACTCCATCGTCACCGTGAAGAACCCAGTTTTAAACAAAGGGGAGAATCAAATTCATTCTCCTCTCTTTTGTAATCAGGAAATCCAAATTGTAATCGATTTTGAGAGAATACAAGTCAATTTTCTTTCATTGTCTTTTTACTGCAAATTTTCCCACAAACAAGGACTTCACAGACACAAAAGATGTCCATACAAAGTGAAAAATGACATAACACTGATATAAACACATTAGAGACAAAGAGAACAGCACATAATAATTTAACGTGGCTTAGTTAGTGTGACCTACACCCACGGGTAAGATAACAAAGAAATTTACTAATCATAATTAAGGAGATTATAAAGGAGATTATTCTCAAATATCTCTCCAAACTCACAAAGAAGAGAACACTCAAAACTCTCTCTTTTTTCTTTTTCTCTTTTTTTCTTTTCTCTCTCTCTCTCTTGTTTTCTCTGTCCGATGTATTTTTTACCTTTCACAGCTCTCCCCCTTTTATAACACTTTACCTCTAATATGTAATAAATATTATGATGGGGGCTAGGACTCAAAATAGTAGAGCTAAGTGTTGAAAAGAACCACAATTTTTGATAACCGCAATGTTTGACTCCGTATTCAAGGCACTTCACAAATCCCCACCTTGACTTAAATATGATAACTCTTCTCTCCACTCTTGCTGTCACGCTTGATGCCCTTGACAGGCTTAACCTCTATGTTGTTGAACTCCAAGCAATTCGAGATAATGCTCGAACTTACATAAAGATACAGGCTTCATCATCATATATGTTAGGCTATCAGCAATACCAATTTTTTCAATCTTGATGACTTTAATTTTCTTAATAAAATGATACATAATATCTATATGTTTAGTTCTTTCATGATATATCTGATGCTTTGTCAAATGTATTACACTATGATTATCACAAAATATTATAGTAACACATTAGTGTAAGCCGAGATTTTCAACCAAACATTTTAACCAAAACAACTTCTTTCACTACTTCTGTCACTACCATACACTCTGCCTCTGTAATAGACAAAGTAACCATCGACTTTAAAGTCGCCTCCCAACTAATGACACTACCTAAATGAGTGAATATATAACCTGTCAGGAATAGTCTCTTATCCAAATCGTCTGCATAATCTGAATCAGAATAGCCAAATATTCTGCAATCTAAATATGTTCCTACCAAAATATAAACTCATATTAGTAGATCCTCTAAAATATCTAAGTATCTATTTCACAGACGGCTAATTAATCTTTCTAGGCTTATCCATATATTGACTCATAACACTGGCTATATGTGAAATATCAAGACAGCTACAAATCATACATACATAATGCTTCTTACTACACTAGCATAAGGAACACAAAATATGTACTGCTCCTCTTCTTCAGTCGGAGGAGACAAATCTGCTAAAAGATAAAAATAAGCAGAAAGCAGAGTCTTCACAGAATTGGCATCAATTATGCCAGATCTCTCCAATACCTTCTTGATATATTTCTCCTGAGATAGAAATAAATTTCTTTTTCGTATGTTCCTGTGGATCTTCATCCCTAAAATCTTCTTCGCTGCTCTCAGATCTTTCATCTGAAACTCATGCTTGAGCTAAGATTTCAACTCGTTGATTTCTAACATGCTTTTAGTTGTAATTAACATGCCATCAACATACAAAAGTAAATATAGAAAAGAATCATCATTGAGCTTTTATGATAAACACAACTATCATATTTACTCCTAGAATAACCATGCTCAAACATGAGAGTATCAAATCTCAAATATCACTGTCTCGGAGATTGCTTTAACCCATAAAGAGATTTCTTTAACATGCAGACATGATCTTTTTTACCTTCAACAACGAACCCCTCTGACTAATACATAAAGATCTTCTCCTCAAGCTGAGATTGCTTCAACAACGAACCCCTCTAACTAATGCGTAAAGGTTGTTTCCACATTAAGTTGCTTAAGCTCCAAATCAAAGTGAGCAACTATGGCAAGCAACACATGGATTGAGGTGTACTTTATAACTGGAGAGAATACCTTCAGTCTAACTATAACATTTAGCTACTAAGCGTGTCTTGTATCTAATAGAATCTAGATCCGGAGTTCCTTCTTTCTACTGGAAGACCCGTTTGTAGCCAATGATTTTCTATCCCCTTTGTCGCTTCATTAACTCTCATGTCTGATTTTTGTAAAGAGACTCCATCTCTTCAGTCATTGCAACAGTCTAATCTGTAGCCTCACTGCCACTAATAACCTTATTGCAGGTAGAAGGCTATGGGATCTCAAACAATTCTGCTATGCTCAAAGCGTAAGCAACCATGTCTGCATAACGTTGAGTAGGTCGAATCTGCCTTTTTGTTCTCCCGTGGAAATATTGTATTATTATTCTTGCGGTGTATTAATGTCTAAAGTTGAACCATCAGCAGTATAAACCAGTTCAACATGAGTGCCCTAAAGCACTCCCTTTGAAGTGGAGTTCTCTAGCTCCACCTGTTTACTAGAATTCTTTTCAATACCTACAGTATCAATAACGAACTCATTTCTCGTGTGAAGCATGGATTTCTCATAAAAAGTAACATCCCTACTTAGGTGACTTGTGATCAGAACATCACAATCTATATCCCTTTACCCAGTAGCATATCCTAAATAGATTACTTTCTTTGCTCTAGGTTCAAACTTACCATCATTAGCATGAAAATCAGCAAAGCAACTAAATATAAATGAGAGTAATTAGCAGGGGCACCAGATTATACCTCTCCTGGGGTCTTAAAATTAATCGTTGTAGAAGGAAATCTATTTATCAAATAGCAAGCTATACTGACTATCTCGGCCCAAACGTCATTTGACAAATCAGCATTAAAGAGCATGCACTGAGCTCTCTCTAAAAATATTCTATTCATTCTTTTTGTAACTCCATTTTACTTTTGTGTATGCCGAATTGTACGATGACGTACAATACCTTCATTGTTGCAGAACTGGTTAAGCTTTATGGAACAAAACTCCATCCCGTGTCGGTTCTAAAGCGCTTCACTTTTTTTCATGTTTGGTTCTCAATCATAACCTTCCGCTGTTTGAAGGTTGCAAAAACATCACTCTTATGCTTCAAATAATACATCCAAACTTTTCTGGAATAATCATCAATTAATTTTAGCAGAAAATAAGCTCCACCTTTCGATGTTAAAGGACCCCAAACATTTGAATGGATATAATCTAAAGTATCTTTAGTTTCATGGACACCAGTACCAAAAGAACTCTATGGCGTTTGTCAAAAACACAATGCTCATAAAAGTCCAACTTGCTAGTTTTCTAACCACAAAGAAGACCTTGTTTGCTCAATATATCTAGTGCTCTCTCACACATATGCCCTAATCACATATGTCATAAACGTGAAGTGTCAGAATCTAAATCCTTTAAGGATTATACTACTGCAACACCTGTCACTGTACTGCCTTCAAGGATATATAGTGTATTTACTTCCTTTCCTTTCATCACAACAAGAGAGTCTTTAGTAACTCTCAAAACTCCATTTTCACTCATATTTGTGAAGTACCTTGAATATGAAGTCAAACATTATGGCTGTCAAAAATTGCGGCTCTTTTTCAACACCTGACACTACTATATTGAGTCCTCGCCTACCTATTGCACACACCCTAATGTCTATTTCACATTTAGAGGTGAAGTATTATAAAGGGGGAGCAATGTGAAGGGTGAAAAATGCATCGGACACAAAAAAAAGAGAAAGAGTGAAAAGAAAAGGAGAGAAAAAGAAAGATAAAGAGCTTTAAGTGTTCTCTTGTTTGTGAGTTTGGGGAGATATTTGAGAATGATCTCCTTTATAATCTTCTCTATTTTGATGAGTAAATTCATTTGCTATCTTCCGCCTATGGATTTAGGTTACACTGACTGAACCACGTTAAATCCTTGTGTGTTCTCTTTGTCTCTATTGTGTTTATGTCAATGCCGCGTCATTATTCTTGGAACATGCGATGTGAAAATAAGTATTCAAGGGCATAAATTCAACACCACCGTAACCATATCTCCTATTCAAAGTCATGTAGTTAGTGGCTTACTTAACGATCCTATTATAGCCACCAGAAAACAGATTTATTGTTATAGATGTAACAAGCGTTAGATATGCCAGCATTAATGTTCTCATGCACCCAATATAGAATACTTAGATAAAGGAATTAGTAAAATACAACTAGTATTACCTGGCTGAACCCATCAGGCCATGTTATTGAGACTGCGTAGTTACCCATTGGTCGGATATCTTCAGGCTCAATATCTTCAGGGATATCTCCAAATTGTAGCTTCTGCTCGCCCGTCCACTCATCCTAAATGAATAAGCACCCGTGTTTTTTCCTTATTGCTGAACTTGCAACTAAGCATTTAATACAAGCAGATAAAACTCATGGCATGAAAATTTTACTATGCAACAGTGAAGATCAAAAGATACTGTAACTCATGGGATTTTACTTTTCTATGCAATGGGCTCCAGAAGGTGATTGTTTTCCATCCATTCTTGAAAATTTAATATTCTTATGAGGATTAATGGTGTGGCATATCCAACAATTTTACTGCAAGATGGTATATTCATGAGTATTGCCTTAATTCATGAGAATCTAGATCTTTTGGAGCTTTATTCAGCAGTTCCAAAATGTAAATAAAATGTTGCATCCGATATAACAGAATAATTTACATACCACACTTTGAGCAGAGCGATCATTCCGTCTCACTGTTGCAGGATGCAACAAGAATTCTTCATCTGACTCTGGTACCCTCACTCTGATCGCTCTAACAGACTTATCATAGGATACTGCCGTGGAAACTGAAAATAGAAATAATTTCTGTCACAAGGAAGACAGTAGAAAATAAAGAGCGGAAGGGAAGCTGTAATTATAATGAGTATAGACTAGAGTAGTAAGGTGAGTATAGTAGTAGGGTAGGGGTAGGTAGTATATAGTAGTATATATATAATAAAGTATTATCATATATATATATATATATATTATATATATATATATATATATATATATATATATATATATATGAGAAATAATGGGGGTATGCTTGGTACCAAGCACAAATTTTGTGCTTGGTAGTGATGTGTCACATTCCTATCCACTCACTACCCATATGAATTTGTTCCCACATCTTGAATGAGTGGAGGGGGATTTGACACCTCACTACCAAGCACAAATTTTTGTGCTTGGTACGCAAGCGACATACCCATATTTCTCTCTCTATATATTATATATATATATATATATAATATATATATATATATATATTATAATATATATTAGTACGCTAAGATCATATGCATCTTCGCATTCATTTCTTTGAGAGAAACTCCATTATTAATCAAGAATCTAGACTCTCTGATTAGTCAGATAGACAAAAGTTATTAGATGGAAGGATACTTTATTTTACAATCAAGCATATCAAATATATCAGGGACTGAAATATATGCCATACTGCATGGATTGAAAGGGCACATATATTCTGAATTAATCTCAACAGTATATCCGGTTTTAAATATCTTCAAAGAATGCCAAGATAGACAAGCCCCTAGACATAGGCTCCTCATTCTTCGCATGTTGGAGAGAAATTAGCAGGTATTATGCTAATAAAATTAGTTTTATAGTGTGCAGTAAGTGCTAATAAAATTGCTTTATTCATAGTGTGCAATCAAATTGATGCTGGAAGATAAACTACCTTGTTGACGAATTTTAGCACATTGTTGAACAACACAAACTCCGAGATTCTGAAATGTGCTTGCCACCTCACCTAGAGGATCAGCCACCACTTCAGGAATTCCACTATCTCCAGAAGCTGATAACTGCCAAAGGGAATTCTATGTTACAAAACTAAGAAATGAACCATTTACATAAACATTGATTGAAATTGAGAAACAAATAGCTCACTATTATTATATGCCTATGCCTATAAACTAGTCATGATTCCTTTAGGCAATTCAAATTAGACATCAATAAGATTAATTACATATTGCCATGTAGAGTACCTACTTTTAGATGAGTAAATCCACCTCTAAATAAGGGATTGTCATGTATGGGAAAAAAATCTAATACATCCAAGAAAAACTTACACAACCATAATTATCAGCCGTATAAATCTATTCCCTAAATTTAGACATAACTCTTTCCACTAGTTACATAGTAGTTTTGCATCGAAAGTATCTTATTATGTAGTGATAGTCTTTTCTTATGATATCAGGAATTCAACCTAAGACATACCGTTGGTCGAATGGGAAGATCAAAAAGATGAGGTATTCCAAACTGCTGGACAACCTATAAAGAGCAAATTGGCATATTAAAATCAAGATAACTTCACCTTGATAATGAAATAAGTTGAACTATTCAATTACATGCCTGAGAACCGGAACCTTTACCAAAAGGGTAATAGCGCTTCTCGTCAGCATCAAAGTAGCACATATTCTCAACTACTGCAACGCAGGGAACCTTCAAAAGAGAAATTCCTCAGAATAATTACTAAGCACTACTTTTCTCAAATTGAATCACGTAAAATGTAATCTCCTATATGATCATTTTTTTCATTCTTTACATTGTAAATAACTGAAGGCTACATTTTAAGAAGAATAATACTAACTGTATAACAATTATTGTGCTACTTTGGTACCAAAAAACTAATATCTAACAAACCCATATACTGAAGTTGGAACGACGGGCCAATAAACATCAGTAAGTGCTATTATGACAATTTCTGTATATAGTCTCTTCAAGATAAATTATCTAAGATGAGTACCTTAAGTTTTGAAAACATGCGGACTCCTTTAGCAACATCAATGAATGCTAACTTCTGTGGGGTGGTAACAATCACTGCTGCAGTCAGTGGAGCAACCTGATAAAATGAATGTTTAACCATAATTCTGGACGATAAAAATAAAAGACTCAGGTTTGTAGATATAGAGAAAATATGAACCTGACACAAAGTAAGTTGAATGTCACCAGTTCCAGGTGGCATATCAATAACAAGATAGTCCAGTTCTCCCCTGTATGGTGCAATAGTCAGGACCACAAAATCTGTGTAGTATTGAATGCAAAAAGAATGATCATCATACTAAAAATTTTCAGATGGAGAATTAGTAGACAAATGCCTTATATGAAGGCATAAAAGATATGACAGCAAGTCTACATGTAAAGACGACATGACAAAAGTGATCCTGATGATATATAAATCATGATGTTCAGCATAAGAAACAGAAGTATACACCTCCATCATAAAACATATCCTGCACTCTCAAAGCAAACTATTAACTTACTCTAGGGGCGTATTCATTTTACAATTTGGAAGTTCCATAACTAGGCAAGTAGCTCTCGTTATGTGAGTGGTCAAATTCTATCCAAAAGCTCTAGCCAACCAAGAAGAAAGATAGCCCATCATATAAATTATAGCATCTATGCACTAATATGACAGCTTAAGGTTAGATCTATTTGAAAATTCCAGCTACAAAAACTTCTGCCCATCAAGTGCTCACTCTGCCCATTGATTCCTATCCAAACGCTCTAGCAAACCAAGAAGAGAGAGCCCATCATAGGGTAAGTAGGTAGGCACCTTACGGCATGCAGTTTAAACTAATGCATCTAGGACTAGAAGAGTCACAAAAATCTCCTTGCCTAGTAAAGAATCAAGAGGAGGAAGCATCTATGCACTAATAAGCAAGTATCAAAGGGAATTTTACCACAAACAATGAAAACAGAAGTCTGGATTTCTAAAGCATTATAATTATACAGATTTATCTGGTGGTTAAGAGTAGTCACACTTCTAATTTAAAGCTAACTTAAAATATCCATCATACCATTCAGCAGTAGTTAGCAATTGATTGATGACCCCTGATACCATTGGACCCCGCATAATAGCCCGTCCTTGACCAGCAAACCCAAAAGATACCAACTTTACACCCAAATACTCTGTTGGAATGATGGTTCTTGTTTCTGGGTTCTAGAAAGAAGCTGCTTCAGGTTCACAAATATGGAACTTTAATGATATGTGTTTAGATCAATCTGCTTTAGAAAAGTACCATTTCTAACAATCGGTTTTCAGGAGAAACCATCGTCGGTAAACTTGGACCATAAACATCGGCATCAAAGACGCCAACTCTAGCACCCATACCAGCTAATGTGTATGCAAGGTTTACAGCTACGGTAGACTTTCCAACACCTCCCTGCATGTTTTAGAAACATTAGTTTTTTTCATTTAAATAGCTAGTGAAGAGACGATGATTGTCTAACAATATACAGTGACTGAATAACATCAAATAAAGTATGTAAAACTGCCAGTCTGAATTAAGTAATAAGCAACAAATATGAATGAGATGATCCCTCATCCTTGTTTGTATAATGTCGAGTGATAAGAGTAACCAATGGGAATAACCTGAATTGGCATTTTCCCCATTTTCCGAAGTATCTATACCTATGTGACACAATTAACTATGATGATTAGAGACTAGTATCAGATGTAATGTGCAAAGATCACAATGCAGTTAGAAGTCCAAGAAAAATCTAGATATTTTGGTCGATGACAGTATTGAATGTCTTTGAATTCAATAAATAGCTTTTGGAAGCGTTCATTGTGATTATGATAATATTAGCATTTGGAATGAGAAGTATAGGGAAAGGAATATTATTGTAGAGGATATCGGAAGTTTTACCTTGCAACTAGAAACTGCAATTATATTTGAAATATTTTGTAGTCCCTTGGGAAGTTCTCCAGCAAAAACAGATTTCGCAGCCTGCGCCGACATTTCCACGCTAACTTTATTAACCCATGGAAGTGCTGCCACAACCTCATTTGCTCTTTGTTCAAACTGGCAGGAACTGAAAGTGTCTTAGGCATTTAGGAAGAAATCCACTGTATTTCAATATGCATGAATACATAACTTCATTTATAGATAATGTCATACAAGTACAAGAATATAATGTGGTTAGAAGGAGTTTGATGTCATCTGGTTTAGACTGAGAGAAATTGTTATATGGTAGCAGTTAAGTTTGATAATTCACAAGCTCCATCTCAAAAGTGGCAATAATTAAAGGTTTGCTGTAATTTACTCTTAAATCAAATAATGTTACTTTAGACCTCCTCTAGCGTCCATAGTAACTGAACTTCTACATGAAGCTTCCGTTTGTCTAATTTATATCCTAGAAGCTCTTTTTCCTAAGAAAAAAATTTAAACAACAGATTCTATTAGATGACTCTAACAATTACATTTCATCGCATAAATTACCGGTGAAAAAGGAATCTTTTACATAAATAAACACAAAGTATGTGACAAACCAACAACTGTGATTCCATTTACCATGTCCTTGATTGGGCATGCTGGAGTTGTGAGTTCCAAACGAAATGAAACCTAAATTCACACAAGCAAAAAAATCTGTCAGCCACAATCATGTGATCTAAATAACATGATAGAAATTTCTCAGGGCAAGCCCATTATCACCTCTTTAGATGATTCATCAATCTGCAAATCCTTCACAAAGCCACATGAAACAATGTCTGTTCCAAAATCTGGATCTATGATCTGGGATAAAGCCTTCAATACATCTTCCTTTTCTTTATCAACTGATATTGGCGAGGTGCCAGCTGAAAAAGGAGAAGATATAAGTCCAACAGGTCTCGAGATTCACAAAGTAAAGATTTTGCTTGACTGTGTGCATTTTTTCAGTGCATAATGGGTCAAGACAAGCTGGGAATGTGATCCTTATGCTTTTCAATTTTTCGCCCTCCCCCCGGAATTCAACTGATATCAAGAATTTTTCATAGAGGATGTAGTGATTCTTGGAAAATAAAGCTCGAAAGGTATTTCCACCATTCGGCACTTACTCATCATGAGCATCAATGTTCTGTAGACTTGTTGTAGCTATTGAGAATTGGGATATTACACACAATGTGAACGTCCCACTAAAAGCTCAATCGAGTTCATAAAGATCAATACGTAGAATCCGGACAATTCGGTATTGATTTTCGCAGAAGAAGCATTTCTCATCCACACTGTAACTAACAAAGTTCCTTAAATTCATTTACTAAAAGTGAAAACCCAAGTGGTTCACCTCACAGAACTTATTGGAATCATGAATGACTTCAATATAACCATACCTCACAAATCCCCTGAACAAGATTCATATGTTAGTCAAACTTGAGCCTCAAAAAACCCAAACATACTAATTTCAACTAATTTCTCATGAATTTGGTTGGGTTAATAAAGTTTCAGGTAGCAGAAGGAACCTTGAGCTTGCGTTGCTCTTATATGGAATGAGCTCAAACTCGGCCTCCAATGGCTAAAGCACTGAGTAGCCATAGGAACAAGAAATGGTCGCCTACTGCAAACAAGCCCTGCAACAAAACGGTGAGGGTGAGATAACCATCAATTTGAAAGAGAGAGAATGAGAGCAAGAAATTGAGGAGAAATTAAAGGGTACCTTCATTTGGGTGTGTTCTTGATAAAGGAGGGAGAGTATTTGATGGAACTTGAAGAAGCTGCATTATTTTCTTGCTTTCAGTTGCAGAGGATAGAGGAACCGAGTGGGTGGCCTTGGTTTTGATTTGAAGTTTATTTCTTTATTTATCATTTATTTCGTTATATATGCTATTTTCCTTATACGAAAGTGGGTTAGGCCATTTAATTGGGCTTTAGGCCCAATTATGGTGGAAGTCGATTTTAATATTTGCTTCCATGAAATCAGAAACACAGGACGTTATTATGGAAGGTGATTTGAATAAACGCCAAGTGAGTTGGGCCACTTGTATTTTGCAAATGACTCCTCACGCCATACAATTTATAATTTTACCTTTTTGTATTTGGATTCTATTATTAATATCTTAGAATGAACAAACATCCAATTTGGTTTCAAGTAGGTGTTTTCTTTTCCTTTTTTTCCCCCTTTTTGTGATATACTGATTATTAAGACGGCACTTATATACCTTGGATTAGTAACATATATCCAATTAAGAGTTGTGCGATGAGTACTCACGAAACCCTGCTTACAATTGAGGCCCAACACTAAAAGGGGCCTTAAAAATGAGATCGATTAACAATCAAGGCCCACAAGCAACCTGATTAAATGAACACGTGATGAAGGAGTCCTACTGCTTGGACTTGGCTCGTCACATAAATAAACTAGCCTGCACCAACCTTAGACCCCTAGGCCTGCAGGACAGGACAATTCAAAACTTACGATTTGATGAACTTGCAAGGTCACGAGTCTAATTTTGCACAGAAAAAATGTCACACAAGTCTAAGTTCATAATTGAATTCCTGTTCCCTATATAGATAAGATCTAAAGATTCTTCCATTTTCGAAATATCTACGCCCATGAGCAAACACAATAATGTCAAATCACAGGCACAAAGAGAAAATTATGAGTATTCCACCATTTTATGCGCTATTTTCACTGGTTCAGTGTGTTATTTTTATAATTCCTTGCTATTATTTGCATGATTTAAAAACTGATAGTAAAACACATATAGTCATATTTTTCCTTCCTGCATAATTTCTTTACAAGATGAGCCCAGAAATTCAAAATAGTAAAATGACAATATATATAAAATGACAATACTACTAATTTTTTTGCTCACATTCAAATTAAGAAACTATAATAAGATATGAAAGTTATTTAACTTAATACAATTACAATTGACCTTCGTGTGTTTTCATGTTTTGAAATCATCGAATAATAACATCATTCGATACGTCACTAAACACATCAATTTCAATATAAACATGTGTTTTCTCCCCCAAAATTGATGGTAGTTATTTGATATGTGGTGAATAGGGCAATTTAAATTAATGGGTCCTAGAGGCACTTTTTTTTTTTAGATTTGACCCATTAAGAATTAATGGGAATTCGCTACTCAAATGAGTTGGGGTTGCCACTTTTATTCATAAGGTCACATAGCTCTTTAATCGTATAATTTATGGTGGCGTCAAATTTTTGAAAATGACTTCTTTTTTTAAAAAAAATAATTAGTAAAATTGATTTATTTTTTTTGGTGCAGCAATTTGCAATATCAACCTCTTTTTGGTAAGTCACCAAAGCTGATCGAAAAAAGATCAATTTTGAAAAATATAATCTTTAAAATGCACGAAACTAATATAGTCTCATTTATTCTAATTGAATTAGAAGAACTCGTAATTAGCGAAACTCGTAATTAGCGAATGTTAATTACATGGAACGGGTAGTCCCTCGTATTTTAAAGATCATACTTATAAAATCGATCTCTTTGACCATCTGTGATGATGTGACCAAAAGAAATTAATTTTACAAATTATTTCAAAAAGATCGATTTTACTAATTATTTTTAAAAAGAAGGTCTTTTAAAAATTTGTCCTTAACACCACCCACTATGGACGCTCTGCCCTTGCCTCTATATGATTTTTCCCCCCAAATGATGTAATGTATATCATATTAATGATTTCTTTCACCGTACCAAAATCCAAAGTTAGGGATGAGGATTGAGTTTATAACTTTAGGGAGGCGCTACAGACACACCTCCGGCCACCCCCCCCCCCCCCCTCTCCCCCCGAGATTTTTTTTTAAAAAAATATCAAATGGGCCCCCCTGTACTGTAGCTAGGGGGTTGTGGTCGGAGGTGTGCCCGAGGGTGTGTCTGTATAATTTTTCATTACTTTATACTACAAAATGAAAACATTAAAAACTTTGGATGTACGAAAAAATTGAAGTTGAAAAGGTATGCAAGTTTCCTTAAAACATAGTACTCTATAACATTAATTAGAACCTTAATTAATACAATATACATTTTTCCTTATCCCCATATAAAACAAAGGGGTACCCCAAAACTACAAAACAAGAGCTCTAAGCAATATTATATTAATAATAATACACCCATCAAACAATGGTCTTAGAAGAATGGTAGGGGGCAACCCAAAGCTCTGCAAACTTAACCTTGGAAACACTCTCTAGCACCTCAAAGGGAGTAATGTCCCCAATCACAATTACCTTCTTGCTCTCCAAATCCACTTTGAAGGAAGTAACTCCTATAAACAAACACAAAGAGAGAAAAGAGAATGGTTAATGAAAGTTTTGATTTTAATAATATAATGGGTTTCTCCCCCCTATCTAGTCTTTTAATCTTTGATATTTCAAAATTAGTCCCTCTCGGCATTGGAATTGCCATTAGGCCTCCAGTTATCTTACATCTTTACGTCGCTTCTCTTAAACGGAGAGATTAATTAAGTTTACAAAACCCCAATAGGAAAATTTGTCAAGTATACAAATACAGGCCAACAAGGGCTCGCTAACTTCTTGTAATTCCAACGAGCTAACTTTCTCATTTCCCAATGAGCTTCACTTCACACATGGAAATTGAAAGTACCTTTGACTACTATTTTGATATTTATTGGTACTTTTACATGTCAATCATATGTTAAATATTATCTAAAAAAGAGGGGGAGAACTAAAGATTTCTCTGACAATAATAATTGTAACTAAAAAAAGGAGCAAAACACGCATTAGGTTGGAAGAAACAAATCCTTCTGCAGAGCTATCTAAAATGATGAAAACTGTTACAGAGATGGATTCTGCAGACTTTGAAACTGTTAAAGACAATTCCTAGTTTATTAATTTGAGAATTTGATGAGCATATATATTAGCATGTGATGGGAAATAAAACTTTTTTCAAGGATTCTTTAGTTAAGATATTTCCCGAGTGACTAGTTTTAGCATTAGATTAGATCGTAGAATGTGGCTGTTAATAAATTTTCATGACCAGTAAAGATCATACTTAATTTTGCAAAAAGATTAGTCTATCATCAGTCACATTATAAGATGAATTCGCTCAATATATTTAATATGTGTTCAAGTTTAATTTAATTCAAGTACAGATTAATATATGAAACATTAGGTTAGGTTACATATTCCTGGAAATGCATCAATACAAGTGATTAAATTGAAATCTAGTTTTCAGGTTTTACTTGATGTGCTTAATTTATACTAACCCAAGCTGGTTAGCCATTCAACTAACAATAAGAAACAACCTCAAGCTTATTAAAATCATAATCTACTAGTCGTTACTGAAGAAAATGAGAGAGATTAACTAAATAAGAAAGTCTATGTAGAAAGGGGTTTTTTTATCAAATTAAGTTGTTCTTACAGAACTTTTCATAAGATTTTAGAAGACAAGCACATGAAATGCACTAATCTATTTTTGTTGTAAAGATTTGTAAGAAAATGGGATGCAAGCTTGAATATTCAAAGAGAAAGTCAAAAGAAAATAAAAGTTCACATACCTTCCATCTTCTTGATGTGCTTCTCTACTTTTCTTGCACAACCATTGCAATGCATAGAAACCCTTAAGATCACAGTCTGCCATAATCAAAACAAGAAGACATGGAAGAAACAAACATAAAAATTAGTATTAATGCACATAAAACAAAATTTAGAGGCAAACAAATTAAAATAAGATTTAACAAATTCACCATGGGCTCTAAAACATCTCTAAGTCGTAATATCTGATCTCCTGGATTCTTGACCAAAGAGTCTCTCTCAACTGCAGTATATTCGTCCTCATCTCCAAATGAACTGCCGCAGAGGCAAGAGCTTGCAGAGATTGGAAGAGAGAAGCAATCCAAAACCTTGTCAAATCCAAGCCTCCCCATTTTGGCCTATAATGCTTCTACACTGTCAAACTACAAAGAGAGAGAGCACACTTAAAAAAGGAAGCAAATACCCTCACTCAAGAAACTCCACTCCCATGAGCAAGCACTTTACAAGGAACCCATGAAACGTAGGAAAAAGTTAGCTAGCTATTTTACTACCTCACAGTTACATGGAAAATCACCTATTTATCCTAAAGTTGCAATGTTTCACTACAAATAAAATAAAATAAAATCTAATGAAAGGTTAAGGGACTCCAAAGTTATCTAATTGTTAAGTTCAGATAAAGTATACAAAGATAATGATCAATAGATAAGTACATATATGGGTGAGGATCCTAGCCTAGTCTTAATTAGTTTAGAAATAAATGAGGGTGGTCCAGTTTTGAACTAGTTTAAGAGTCATTTTTGGGAGAATGTATCATGGTTCATGACATTTAACATACGCCAAATGGAAGTTAACCATTGAATTCGTGCATAAATTCTGATGTCTAATGATCTAATGGTTGACATTCATTTGGTTCACATTTAATGCGATACATCCAGGACTATTTGAATCTTTCTCCATTTTTGGTCTATGAAAACTTAATCAATAATCAATAGTGATTTTTTAGTTTCTGTCAAATGTATTTTCATTAAAAAAAAGGGGGGCCAGAATTAATCATGATTCGGTATTAAGTGATTCTCAACAAGCCTTCAGATTTGCATAAAAATCTTCAAGTACACTAATTAAATATGTAGTCAATATATACAGTAAGGAAAATGCTTGGATATTTTGATAAATTTAAAAGCCAAGAAATAATCTAATTGGTTAAGTAATGGGACTCCACTAATGTAACATCAATCAAGGTTGGCAGGAAAGATTCAAGTGGGTGCAAGCAACCCCATGTGAGCAGGTGTTGTTCATGAAAACAAACCAAGAATAGAATCTAAAAGGCCAATCATTCAGGAAAGGAAGAAACGTTTGTGCTGGAAAATAGAGCAAGATCATATGGCTTTGAGTACTGAAGAGGAGAATAAAACAAAACTTTACATGGCCTAAAATGAGAATCTTAGCTAAAAGGCATGTGGTTGGTTAGCCTAAACAAAGAAACGCTATATGTTATTATAGGTGAGAATTAGATAGGAACAGTGATATCATGGTATTGAAGGTTTTTCTACAAAAGGGTTTACTTGCACATATAGAATCTTTTAGGGTTTTTTTTTTTTTTTGGTGGTAGTGGTGGAAATGAACCAAATAATTAACAAATAGTTTGATAATTGTTTGAATAACTATTCGGTCATATTCGATTCGGTAGTTCATTTACCACTAAACAAATATATTTTAGTATTCGAGTTTACTAACGAATATAATTTAACCAGATGTATGTTTGATTCGTTTGTCTATTAAATATTCGTTTAAAATTTCATCACAGCTTATTATTTGTATTATTGCACATATGATGTCATATTTTTAATTCACTTACCATTTCTACTTAACTTTTATATACTGATTTTAAGACTTAAATAATCTTAAATCTATTTTATAATTAAAATTTTGATTTAAATATATATACGCCATATATTAAAATGGAATAATTTTTATTTATGAATTTTAATATTATTTGAAAATCAAATTTTTTTAGCGGAATAAATATACTTTGATATTCGATAAGTATTCCTGAATATTCATGAATATTTATCAATTACCAAGTATTCGAGTTCGAATTCGAAAAACTAGATATATGAATATTAGAGTCTACATTCGAATTCGATAATTTTAAACAAATACAAATACGAACACCTTAGTATTCGATTCGATTCAATCATTTACCACCCCTATTTGGTGGGACCTTACTATTCAAGTACTTTCATTGTAAAGTTTTCACTAATGTTACTCTTGGATGAAGTTAATGAGTTTATCTGAGGATAACAAAGTTAAAAGAATTTAACTCAGTGGGTCTATATGCAATAATGAAACTTGCTACAAGGGTACTAATCTTAAAACTATGATGCTACAGGGTGTCTATGTGAAATTAGCCTTTTTAAATATATAGTGATAACAAAATCAAACCAAAAATTTTAAGCTATCATATGTATAAAATTCCAACTTTCTAATTAAAATTAGAACCGACACGTAGCTAGATCCCATAGTACTGTGCATTAAATACAAATTAAAGTGCTTAGCTTGCAAGAAAGGTAAATAATTGGATTCTTCTCCTCCTTCAATGATTGCTCAAATATCAATTTTATATATCAAAGCTAATTGTTAAATTCATTAGATTAACTATGCATTTGGTCTTATCCGCCGACTGACCCAACAAATGACGAGGGATAAGCACTTGGGTTTATAAGCAATGGACTAATTTAGATGACCTTACTATGAGCTAAGGGCCATAATTCAAAAGTCTCGACTAAATTTATGTCATTAATTATCTAAATTGTTAGAATTACACCTTTGGCTATCAAGACACAAAAGATATATACTAGATCGTTAAAATTACACCTTTCCCTCGCAAGACATAAATATATTCTAGCGTTACTACACATATATGCAACCGGCATTAAGACTTAATTAATGTTTATAATAAACGATAAATTAATTTATCTTATTTAGACTTCAAGTCATGAAGTACAATACTAGCCAACATCAATAGCGCGCAATTTATCACGTCAAACAACGTCTGCTGGTTCATTGGTTGTATGTCGAACTGTGAGAAGTGATATTGATCATCAAATGCAACGCACGCATGGTCTTCTAATTAATTAATGTCTCTTTAAAAGCAAAACCAGCTGATGGTTAGACATCTCATCATGTAGGAGCATACAAATCGCTTGGGCAAAATCAGACTCAAACGCTACCCTTTTTTAGCCTTCAATTGTTCTCTTGCGATGTTTTTTTTTAACTGAAAAAGCAGGGTTGGAGGCCCTGCTCATATAGGGATATTATTAAGAACGAAAGCAGTTACAAAAGAGCATCACAACTAGGTGTAGAACCACTGAGAGTGCAGTAGATAAGGAGCGGACATATGTCGTCACCTACCAAACTGAACCCGCAGCGATACTACAGTTGGAAAGTACATATTACATACTTACATAAAAAAATGATAGCAGCCTACTAGAGAACATAACAAACTAGTAAAAGGAAGGAGCAGCAACAGTTTTTCCAACATTTGGGAAAATATCCTTATCCAACAGAATTTATGGAGTGGCCTGGGTTAGTGAACATGGGGAAAGGTTGTCCCCAGATGCCTTGACATTCTTGTTTGCAAGCTCCTGTATTCCAAGGTTTGAAGCAGCCCTGCGGAGTCTCCTCGCCAGCCTCTCCTCTTCGGCACATGTCCAAAATATTGTATATCTCCCAATATTAGAGGCAATGTGAAGAGGATTAGATTGACTTTCCTTGAAAATAAGAGCATTTCTACTGAACCAGATCCACCAGCAAGTACAAGGCAACAGAATCTTCCAAATAATTTTAATGTCCGTGCACAGATTGGGAGATTTGTGGAACAGTATCAGCTCTTCTATAGTCTGAGGCCAGCAGTTTGTGGGAAGAGAGGGAAGGATGGAGGACCAGATAGCACGAGCAAATGATCATTTAATAAAAAGGTGATCGTGGGTTTCTACATCCAGTTTGCAGAAAGGACATCTCGGGTCACCTGTCCAGCCCTTTAGGATCAAGTTTGCTTTCGTGTTCAGCTTCTTGTTGGAGATAATCCAGAATAGAACTTTTACCTTGGTTGGAATAGAAGATTTCCAGATCGTATTAAAGAATTTGGATTTAATGCCCCCTGAGTTGACGAAGGAGTAGTAGGATTTAACTGTAAAAATCCCCGATGGGAGGAGCATCCACCAGAGCTCATCTGGAGCAGAAGAGATGCTAATGTTGCAAGATACTAGAAGAGAGAGAAGATGGTTGAGATCTGACCTTTCTGGGGGCGAAATTCCTCTTCTGGTGAGAGGATGCCAATACCAAACATTGTTAATCATTCTACCTTGGGATCCGATACAGCAGTTCTGTGAGAGAGCTAACTGATAAGCTTTTGGAAATAGGCTGCAGAGGGAGTTTGTCACAGACCATTTATCATGCCAAAAACTGCCAGTTCTACCATCTCCAATTTTCCATTTAACTAAGTTGAAAAAAGTTGAGTGAATAGAGGATAAATCTTTGATGAAACTTGAAGCCGTGCTCTTTATGGGATAAGTCTCTTGCGATGTTAAGGTCTCCTTTAATTAATTGCTAGTAATTCCCCCAAGAAGAGAACATGCCCGCCGCTAAGAGCATCTCCAACAGCTTCCTCATTTTCCACTTTTGAAAAATTTAGTTAGGTTTTTGGCCCAACAGATTCTCCATCTCATTCCCCAAAATAGGGATGGAGGAGAAAAAATGGGGAAGCTTCCCCAAATCTGCAGCATTCTCCAAATTTTTGGAGGAAAAAATGGATTCTTCAAAATGGGGAAGCTGTTGGAGTTGGTGTAAAAATTAGTTGGAGAATATGACTTTTGCTTCCCCATTTTAGAGAAAATTTTGGAGAAGCTGTTGGAGATGCCCTAACACACAACCGTCCCCCTTCCGTGACTTTAAAACTTAATTATTCTAATTTTTGAATAAAAAGTGTCATATCTTTAATACTTTGATTTGAAGTATCATAGATGTTTCTAAGATTGTTTCATGATATCTATTCATTTAATATGCGTGATATTTTATCTTAACTTATTAGAATTTGGTTATTACATATTTATATTTGAATGTATTGAAATTCTAATATCTATTTTCATTGTATTCATTTGCATGGAAAATAATTTTATCATTTCACATTCATATCTTTTTATAATATGCAGTGTAATATAGATTTAATTAGTGAGCTTTATGATACGCTTTAGAAAGTTCTAGAAATAAAGAAAGAGAAAAGAAAAGTAAAAAAAATTGCATTACCATCTTATCCCAATGTCTTTAGTGAGATGAGTAACAATTTTTCCATGTCCTACAACTTTTCCTACACTCACTAAGTTTTTAATATAATAATATAGATATCTCCTTCAAGAAGTATATATCTCTTATTAGGCCTGTCCATTTAGCCCGTCGGCCCTGGCCCGGCCTGTGCCCGGCCCGGAAACCCTGGCCAGACCGGGTTTCGGTCCCGGGTACGGGCCACCTCATTGGAGATAAAAGTGTAAGTTTTGATAGGTATGCAATGGTAGATGAGCTAAATGGTGGATCTGGACTTGGATCAGCATTGGAGGTTTCTAAAATAGATGAATATTTATTTGCTTCTTTAGTTAAATGTTAAAATGATAATT